TGAAGGCCATGGGAATGGAGAGCGATCAAGAGGTTGTGCAAATGATAGGAAGAGATCCTCGGTTTAGTGCTCTGCTTTTGCCATCAATCGAGGAGTGTGCAGATCTCAAGTTGTATACACAACAACAAGCACTGGAGTTCCTCGAGAGTGACAAGATGCTTAAAATGCCTTCATATTCTACTGGCCCAATTGAGAAGGGCGCCCGAGCTTTGAGTATTCTTCGTGACATATTTCTTGCAAATGTTCCAGTCCATCAACATAATTTCCGCAAAAAATGCATATATGTTGCAGTAATGATGAGGCGCATGATGGAAGCAATCTTAAACAAGGATGCAATGGATGACAAGGACTATGTGGGGAACAAGAGATTGGAGCTCTCCGGTCAGCTGCTATCTCTCCTTTTTGAAGATTTGTTCAAGACGATGAATGATGAAGCTAGGAGGACAATCGATACTCTTCTAGCCAGGCCAAGTCGCTCCAGCCGTTTGGACATTTCTCAATACATAATCAAAGATAGTATTACTATGGGCCTGGAGAGAACCCTATCTACAGGCAATTGGGATGTTAAACGGTTTAGGATGCACAGGAAGGGTATGACTCAGGTTGTTGCTAGGTTGTCATACATTGGATCATTAGGTCACATGACAAAAATCTCACCACAATTTGAAAAGTCTAGAAAAGTTAGTGGTCCTAGAGCACTGCAACCTAGTCAGTTTGGCATGCTTTGCCCTTGTGACACACCAGAAGGTGAAGCTTGTGGATTGGTGAAAAACTTGGCCTTGATGACTCATGTTACGACTGATGAGGATGAGCGCCCAATCATGTCTTTGGTACAGTTTCTATTATTTATGTTCCTACCGCTTGGTATTTAAGTGTGTAATGAAGTTGTACAAGTAGTATCCTGAATCTTTATTTGGTTATTTCTTAACTCTGAGCTTTTACACTTGATATTATAAATCTCAAAATCACAAGGGGACTATGGTCATTATAAAAGTTAAAACCAGAAGTTGAGGATTATGTTTAGAAGCTTTCATGGAAACAAGGAAGCCCAGGAATGTGATTGTTTCTTGTTAATCTTTCGATCCCAATGTTTTGACCATATTACTACATAAATTTTTATATTAAACTAATCTACCTGTGTTATAGTTACTGTACCTTTTTAAAAATGTTCTGTCCTGATCTCTTTAGTACTTTGTTGCTTCTTCACTCCAGTTTTTTCTTTTTTCAAATTGCTTTGAAGTGATTTTACTTGAGCCAAGGGTCTATCTGAAACAACCTTTCTACCTTCCAAGGTAGGGGTAAGGTCTGCCTACACACATGATATGCTAAAAACTAATCTACCTGTGGAAGGTTATGTATTAGTTGTTTGTTTTTCGTAGGAGAAACAAGTGATGAAAAAGTTCAAACTCTAACTGAACTGGTCAAAACAACATAAAGACAGCTCCTTATGTAGGATTTCTGGATGAGAATATGAAAAGTTTTATCCTTAGGATTTCTAATTATGGGAATATTCTCATGTGTAATCTAGATATAGCATAGCAATCTAATTCTTCTTATCTTAGCTTGATTGTCTCTTTAAAAAAAAATCAACCAAAAGAAAAAGCACGGGGATGATAATTTTTCTATGTGACTAGGAACTTGTTAATTGTTGAAATTTTCACAGCGGGATTTGATGGGTTATAATCTCCGAAACGCAATTTGCTGATTGTAATCTTGTGCTCTGTAATGATTTCACATATCTTTGTATTTTCCTTATCACACTTTCTATGTTTTAAAAACAGTTTTGCACTTAGGATCAACATGATGAAACTTGTAGGTATCACAGGCTCTGCATGCTATACTTATTTAGGGATTGCATTGGTACTATGATATTGATAACTTTGGGATTGTATGCTAGTAGAAAATGTTGAGAAACTGTAGTCTCAGATATTGGAATGTGATAGGTCTAAATGGACCGAAATTTATAGTCAAGAACGAGGAGGATTATACTTTTTTTGCTTCATGTTGGTCTTCGTAATTCGTAGAGAGTTGGTAAGGGTCATGTTGAAAAGGCGAGCTCAAAGAAAGTGAGTCTGTCATCATTTCCTTAGGCCTAAATGGACTGACTTACCTGGTACAATTGATGGTAGTAGCTTGTAAGAGATAGTTAACTTCCTATTGTGTTGTATTTTTGCATTAATAGCCACAGAAAAATCCAACTTTTCAGTTTGTGCTAGTTTCAATTAGTAAAGTTTTCACTTCATTTCTGTGACATGTGGAACAGTGCTACTGCTTGGGTGTTGAGGACTTGGAACAGCTTTCGCCAGAAGAGCTTCACATGCCAACTTCCTATCTTATCACATTAAATGGACTTATTCTAGGCAAGCACAAGAGTCCTCAGGTATGTTCGAAGTGGAACAACTATATTTCTCAAATTTCTGCATCTGAAGTTAGGCTTGTTGTTTACCTTTCACCAATGAACTGTTATTTTAATCAGCGATTTGCTAATGCAATGAGGAGGCTACGGAGGGCTGGTAAAGTTGGGGAGTTTGTAAGCATCTTCGTGAATGAAAAGCAGGTAATTTAACAGTTGGTTCTTTTGCATCTCCGTCCTAGTATTTATTTTGTCAGTTGATAAAACTACCTATACTGGGGTTGAATTCCTTTTGGTTCAAACTGTCAGGATGAAGACTAGATTCAGAGTCTCATAGACAATTCTTATATCTCTGGTAGTTTTTGGTTAGCATTGCTCCACCATAGTGGTGCTGTTAGGAAAATATTTGCATTTTTCCTCTTTGCTTTTATCATTTGAAATATGATTTGAATGATTATATATAAGTCGGAAAATCTCTTGCAGCGGTGTGTCTACATTGCTTCAGATGGTGGACGTGTTTGTCGTCCGCTTGTCATTGCTGACAAAGGTGTTTCCAGGATCAAAGAGCACCACATGAGAGAGTTGAGGGTACTCATCTTAGCTGGTTCTTGCTTCTGAGCTGTATGTTTTGATGTCAGTTCCCCATCTGATCTGATTTTTTTATTGAAGGATGGTTTGCGTGACTTCGACAGCTTTCTAAAGGATGGTTTGATAGAATATCTTGATGTCAACGAGGAGAACAACACATTGGTCCGTGTCAAGCAAATGATAAGTGTATTTTATGTTAAAAGAGTATTAATTACGCTAGAACTGACTGCAATAATGCATGTTCCTCAGATTGCTCTATACGAAAAGGAGGCGACACCAGAGACAACACATATTGAGATTGAGCCTTTCACAATCTTAGGTGTTTGTGCTGGTTTGATACCTTATCCGCATCACAATCAGTCCCCCAGGAATACCTATCAGTGTGCTATGGGTAAGCAAGCTATGGGAAACATTGCCTATAACCAGTTGAATCGGATGGATGGTTTGCTCTACCTTTTGGTGTATCCTCAACGCCCTTTACTGACTACAAGAACAATCGAGCTGGTTGGGTATGATAAACTAGGGGCTGGTCAGAATGCGACTGTTGCTGTGATGAGTTATAGTGGCTATGACATTGAGGATGCAATAGTAATGAACAAGTCTTCTTTAGATCGAGGTTTTGGGCGTTGCATAGTGATGAAAAAATATTCAGCCATATGTCAGAAGTATGAGAATGGCACATCGGATAGAATAATTAAACCACAGCGTCAAGGACCTGAAGCTGATAGGATGCAAATTCTGGATGATGATGGAATGGCTGCTCCTGGAGAAACTATTCGAAATCATGATATCTATATCAACAAGGAGTCCCCTACAGTCACGAGGACTCCAGTCACGTCTCCTATGGGTTTGCCAGATAGTGCATACAAGTCAAGTAAACAAACTTATAAAGGTCCTGAAGGGGAGACAGCTGTTGTTGATAGAGTGGCTCTTTATTCTGATAGAAACAACAATTTAAGCATCAAATTTATGATCCGTCATACCCGTAGGCCTGAGCTTGGTGACAAATTTAGTAGTAGGCATGGGCAGAAAGGAGTCTGTGGCACCATTGTACAACAGGAAGATTTTCCATTTTCTGAACGTGGCATTTGCCCTGATCTTATTATGAATCCTCACGGATTTCCAAGCCGAATGACAGTGGGAAAGATGATTGAGCTCCTTGGAAGTAAAGCCGGTGTTTCATGTGGTAGGTTTCATTACGGGAGTGCTTTCGGAGAACCCAGTGGTCATGCTGACACAGTTGATGCTATCAGTGAAACTCTGGTGAAGCATGGATTTAGCTACAATGGCAAGGATTTTATTTATTCCGGCATCACTGGTATGCCACTACAAGCATACATCTTCATGGGGCCAATATATTACCAAAAGCTGAAACACATGGTCGTAGACAAAATGCATGCTCGTGGGAGTGGGCCTCGTGTTATGATGACAAGACAACCTACCGAAGGGAGGAGTAGAAATGGAGGTTTACGTGTGGGAGAAATGGAACGTGATTGTTTGATTGCATATGGTGCCAGTATGTTGATATACGAGCGCCTGATGATTTCTAGTGACCCATTTGAGGTTCAAGTTTGCAGAAAATGTGGTTTATTGGGATATTACAACTACAAGCTGAAGACTGGCATTTGTTCTATGTGCAAGAACGGGGAAAATATATCTACGATGAAGTTGCCTTATGCATGCAAACTCCTATTTCAAGAGCTCCAGTCAATGAACATTGTCCCACGATTAAAACTAGCAGAAGCATGATTATGGTGTCATTTGTATCTGGATTATACATATCTTGGTAATGATTATCTCACAAACAGTGGTACTTATGGTTTCTAAATGTGCTATGTGAGTGTTCTTTTTGCTGTGAGAAGAACAATGTCTTCCTTTGATTCATAGCTAGTTCCGCTCAATGATTTTTTTCCTTTAGTGACTTTGCAGCATATCTTGACCTTCATGAGTCACATTTGATAATGTTGGGCAAAATGTGTTAACTTCACAATAGTACTATTACAATTTTAAGCTATTGAATCAAACAATTGTACATACAAAAGTAATACAGCCAAACTAAGTGACAAATAACACACTTCTGAAGTTGCCATATTTGCTGTTGCTTTAGAACTTTGATTGTATCTGAGCAACCACAGTTTCATCAACTTGAAAAGCCTTGGCAAGAATATCTGTTGCTATGGCTGGTTCTGATTCGAAAACTACATTAGCAATGCTTATAACACCAGGATTCTGACTACTCAAAGCAGCAACAGCAACAGCATTTCCATATCCCACATTGCGTTGGTAGTGAACAAGTCCAATTGGAAAAACAAACACATCGCCTTTTTTAAGGACCTTAGTAATATGGCGATTTTCAGGATTTGAAGATACGAAACCAACTTGAAGAGAACCGGCAAGGACTGTGAATATTTCAGTAGCTCTTGGGTGAGTGTGAGGCGGATTAACTCCCCATGGTGCATAGTCTACGCGTGCCAGTGAGATACCTAGAGTGTTCAGTCCTGGTATTTTAGTCGCGTTAACACGAGTTACCTTGGAGCCAAAAGTGTTTGATGTGTTTCCAGCCAAATGTAGGCCACCGAAGAAAAAATCCTCTGAGATAACAGACTTGGGATCTTTGCAAGCTAAGCCATTTACCTTTAACTGAAACAATGGGAAAAATGCAATCGTTCAAGTTTATATGACAAACTTGCTTTTTTAGTATTCCAAAGAAAGACACAATTCTAAATTTGAAAACGACTATCTTTGCACTTCTTCTTTGGCCTTAATGAGAAGCTCTCATTACTAGACATATGTTATGACATGTTTAAGTTCACAAGCTCCAAAAGTCTTTATAAACTTTGTGCCGACTCAAATATGTCAGATAAATTGGCAGAAAGGGATTATATAACAGGAAAATGAGATTCTTATCGCGAGTTACTTTTTTGCAGTACCTGTGCTAGCAAGATCGGCCACACAGAAATCTTGCATTGGACTTGACTCAAAAGCTAACACAGCACAGCAGAAACTTAGTGCTATCAGATTCAGCAGGAGAAAGTGCTTAGCCATTACAAGAACTAAAGAAAAGAAGCAAAACAACAATATTAAATATGCATCAGTTCCGAACTAGCAGAAAAAGTAAGGAGAAAATATTGTAAGAGAAGGAAGATGTTTCTGTGAGATGAAATGATTGATAAGATAGTTTCCTTATATAGAAGAGAAGAAAGAGTCCATGTATGCAAAGGTACTCTTGAGTTTTGGTGAGTAATTTGTATCTTTTTGAAATGATTGTGAACAGCCGCCCAAGCACACATGAAGACTTTGATAACAATTAGCTGTCATTTACAGTGGATATGATATAATTTGCAGAAACAAGTCAAGAATAAGAGGTTAGCTGGCTCAGGACAAAGGTGAATGGTTCAAAAGGCTAACTTTTAAGGATAAATGGGATTCTTCAATACCTCAGATGGTCAAATGGAGGATTTGTTCACAGAGGCGGAGCTAGAGTTTTTATTGCAGGTTCAGCAGAACTCATTAACTCGCTTTGGCAAAATATTATATCTTTAAAATAAGTTTCCCTTATCCACTCTATCTGACCTCTTTCACTCGTTATTTGCATTTGTCCAGCCAGACAGGCTGTAGCGCCTATGCCAAAGACGCATAGAACAAAGATACCAATGTACCATAGGAATCATGATGTATCCTTTCCCATACAAATTGAAACCATGCTCTTTGAACAACTCAGCCTGCATTTATCTCAGATTATATTGTGGTAAAGAAATACGGAGAATGGTAATATAGAGAGTTTAATAATATCGTATCCTAGTTTTATGACTATAATTCCAGTTTAGGCCTTTTGAGTTACAAAACTACCTATGATATCACAAGTCATATCAGGAATAGTCTGTCAGTTCTGGTCATCATATAAAATTGAAGCTCAATCTGTTATATGGCAATAAAGCTGGTCAAGAATACTGTGCAAGAGTTCATAAAAACTCTTTAGGACTAATGTTACCTTGTCAAAAAGATTTTGAAGTCCGATTTTGAATCACTCGCGTTTAGTATAATTTCATGATTTATTTCCTCAGTAGACAAGTATAAGTCATGAAGACAGTAGGTATTACCTTTTGATTGACTTGGTTGAACTATTTAAATGATGTAGCAAGTCATAAAGACTGTGTTGCAATTCAAATCATGTTGATATATACATAATTTTTCACATTATCTATGGTACAGTTTATTGAAGAAGTCCATCTGATGTCATGAAGACTAGAAAGCAATGGACAACATGTTATCTTATAACAAAAGTTACTCTCTATTAACTGATGTCACTGTGCATGTGAGAGTTCATTGTTTGGATTGTAGGCTGATTTTGAGGTGATCGCGGTGATTGTTCTAGCTGATAAGAGTACTGACAAATTTGGTTCTTGACATATGAAAAGTTCGAGAGACTCAAACTTACTATAGTTCCTCAAAAGGATCAAGACTTGTATTTTGTATCTATTTTTTCTAGTTAATCATCTCATCACAACATTTTGGGCCATTCAGATACTAATAAACTTTTCAATTTCAAGAAATTAAGTGAAGAATGAAATCAAAGTGCATACCACATAAAAGTTCTAGAACAAATAAATTGATACAGATATTCCTCTAGTGAATATCTGTTGACGAATCACACAGTAAATGAATAAAAATCTCACTCCTTTATCACGGCACACAAGAAACAAATGCTCTCGAGCTTCCATAGGTCTGTTTGTAAGTAGTCTTGCTGCTTCAAAATTTTGATTGTATCTGAGCAGCAACAGTGGCATCAACTTGAAAAGCCTTGGCAAGAATATCTGTTGCTATAGCTGGTTCCGATCCAAAAATTGCATTGGCAATGCTTATAACACCAGGATTCTGACTGCTCAAAGCAGCAATAGCAACAGCATTTCCATTTCCCACGTTGCGTTGGTAGTGAACAAGTCCAACTGGAAAAACAAACACATCGCCTTTTTTAAGGACCTTAGTAATATGGCGATTTTCAGGATTTGAAGTTACGAAACCAACTTGAAGAGAACCTTCAAGGACTGTGAGTATCTCAGTAGCTCTTGGGTGAGTGTGAGGAGGATTAATTCCCCATGGTGCATAGTCAACGCGAGCCAGTGATATACCTAGAGTGTTCAATCCTGGAATTTGAGCTACATTGGCAGGAGTGACCTTAGAGCCAAAAGTGTTTGATGTGTTTCCAGCCAAATGTAGGCCACTGAAGAAAAAGTCATCTGCTCCAACAGATTTGGGATCTTTGCAAGCTAAGCCATTCACCTTAGCTGAAAAAACACAGTAAGAAAATTCATCGAATCATTGATCTTCTAGTCTTTAATATAATACTCCCTTAGCTTCGTTCTAGTTTATATAACACACTTTCCTTTTTAGTCCCAAAAAAAAGAATGGAACTTCATAATTTGGAAACAAATAGCTTTACACTATTCAATTTACCCTAAATGACAAAGTTTTATCAGTTATCACCACACAAATGTTATGAGATGTATAAGGCAACGACTTCCAAAAGTACTTATTTATTCCATAAACGTGCTGATTCAAATTATGTCACATAAATTGGAGCGGAGTGAGTATACAAGAGGAAAATGAAATTCTTGTGACGATTTACTAGTTTGCAATACCTGTGCCAGCAGGATCAGCCACACAGAAATCTTGCAATGGACTTGGCTCAAAAGCTAACACAACACAGCAGAAACTTAGTACTGCTATTAGATTCAGCAGGAGAAAGTGCTTAGCCATTTCAAGAACTAAAGAACAGAAGCTACAAGGAGAAAATATTGGAAGAGAAGAAATATGTTTATTTCTGATTGATAAGATGGTCTCCTTATATAGAAGAGAGAAAAGGCTTCATGCATGCAAAAGTTGTTTGAGTTTTGGTGAGTAATTTGAAAATATTGTAAAGGGCCGTCCAAGCACACATGAAGACTTTGACAATGAGTAGCTGTCATTTGCAGAAAGAAAACAGGAATAAGAAGTTAGCCGGCTTAGGACAAAAGGAAATTGAACATAAAGTGCAGTGTTATTCTTTAATACTTTGTGTGGACAAATGGCGGACTTTGTTCACCGCGGAGCTAGAGTTCTAATTACAGGTTCAAGCAGAACTCACTAACTAGTTTTGGTGTCAAAATTCTGTATTTATTTTAAGAAATCCACTCAATTTTGTCTCAGCGCGAAGCCATCGAGAACCAGATAATATGTTCAGATGATTTGACGGAAATAATTTTGAAAAATAACATAGTGCAAACATCAGATTTTGATTGAGCAAATCTAACTTGAGAATATTTCACACATCAGAAACCTACAGAGAGTGGTTTAGCAAGGGGAAAACCAAAAATGAAAGAACAGAGGTGCATCAGAAGTATGACTGGGAAACATAAATATTCCATCAAACTACAAAAGATGCAAAGAAAATTTCAGGACTAATCACTAGAAGATCCATCGTCATCTTCATGCTGTGCCACAACCTTCTCGAGAAACCTTTTCCTTACTCCATCCAGCACAGCTTCTCGGGACTGTTCCTTCTTGCTACGCCCATCGTTTAGAACAGGATCTGACTGGCAGAGTGTCAATGCAACACCTGAAGTAAAGGAATGCAGATCTATGAGAGTGGGCCAGCAGAGAGTAGAGAACATATAACAAAGTACTTGGAACCAGCTCATACATTGTAGAGAAAATGCAAATAAACTTATATAAGTCACATGTAAATTGAAAAACAGCAGAACATGCCAAGTCTGCAATAGCTGGATCATGAAACAGAGATAGATAGCCTTTTGTTTTACGAAAAAGCAGTTGACTAATTACCTTTTCATTCTTGAATTCTAGTAGAAGCATTATAATAGTGAACAGAATGGTGTACCTTATGTGAGTGAAGCTGAAATTAAGATGAACGATCATACAAGATAAAAAATGACTGCATACAAGAGAAGCTGCAAGTATCACACATCTAGGATGATAAAACGCCACTTGAGATAGGTTGATCAGGACATACACAGACTCCAAATGCACCGGTCAATACTGATTGAAGGTATTAAAAGAGGTCGAGATAGACTTAAAAATAACATGGAATGGTTGTCTCAAAAAACCTTTATGTCTAGCACCGTGCAGAACTGTGCGAAAGTTAAGTTAATGGAAGCAAAAAATCCACATATGCCCTACTGACTAGTTGGAATTAAGGCTTAGTAATGATCATATGCCTATATTAGGTCCAGTGTTGCTAGAAATCTTTTTAACCGGTTTAGATATTTGTATGTCAGTGGGAAATGTAGAGAGCTTCTGCTGTTAAAGACCACAAATTAATGAATACTGAAATAAAGCAAGTTCAAATAGCGTGAAATGGATAGTCAGAAGTCATGTGTAGACTAGCTTGGGATAGAGGCGTAGATGCTGTTTTCATGAATTCTAGTAGAAAGGTAACTGCTTCTGTTCATCCCCACCCCACAATCAACACAAGACAAGAAAAAAGATGGTTAGTGTGGTTATGTTGTTCTATCATGAGAAACACACTGATAGCTACCACACTCTTGAAGTAATTTCAGAAGGTATGAGCTAATTTCAGTAGTAGCACCACCTACACACTCTTGGTGCCACTGGACCAGCTCTTACAAAACAACGAATAGAGACCTAAATCCATGTAGAATAAACAAAAGGCCATGCTCGAGTTTTACAGAAAGTATACAAGATATTAGAAATTCCCAGAAAAGAAGAATTTGCATCTATATACAAGCCATCTATTGTGGCTTACTACCATATAACATCTGCATAAAAAGCCTACACAAAATCTTCATACAGGTAATAGATGGAAACGGGCACAACACTGTAAGTGAATTCACCGAATTTCTACATCTCGAAACAGTAGTAAAAGGAAGTTGAGACAGAAAGTCAACAATTTCACTAAATCATGCAAAAAAAAAGAGAAGGATTGGGGTAGCAACCGGATAACAGCTATGAAGAAGAGGATCATACCTTCAGGTGTGCATCTCCGACCAAAACTATGAAGTCCAACATAATTTGACTTTAATGCACCATTGTGGTACACCAAAACAGTTGGAAGATTACAATCTGGATAGTTCGGAATGCAATCGGTAGAGATAATTTTGACAAATTTTGTTACAGGGTATTTTGTTGCTAGTTCGTCTAAGCACTGCAAAAGTATCTGGCAGCCTGAGTATCTGTAAAGAACATAAAGTGCTACAGAATTATTGACACAGAGCTACAAAAGAGAAAAGAATAATGAAGAGATGAAAAATATTTGAAGCTCAAGACCATTGATGTAAGATTGCTTCACTGATGAAGAGATAAAAGCATAAATTACCCATCCTTATACAGAAGCACAACCACCCAGATGTCTTCTGGAGCTTGGGAAACCTCTCGCACAAAATCTGATCCAGAAATTGGTATCACTGATCCAAATCTCACAACCTTAGCAACTTCTCTCATCTCGGCCATCCTCTTCTTCCTTCAACAACAACACAAAAAAGATATATAAGAGATGCTCAAATTCATGTCAACTTGCATGCTACATGACAATATTTCATCACCAACACAACCGTAAATACTATATCAGCATAATTGGATATCCTTTTTCCTTATGATGCAAATACTGATTTCGGAAAAAAATGTGATTTACTTATCTGGAAAAGCATTAATTGCAGGCGCACGTTTGCATTCTGTAGTTGATAACGAAGTAAAATTGAATTTCACCACGTGGAAAACGAGGCAGCAATATATGACTCCATAAAAAAAATATTACACCATAGGGTAGGAATGACGGCTTATATTGTCTAGTAGTTCATGGGCAACTGTAGTTAATTAATTTTTCAACACTCATTCTAGTCCAATGTTTTTAGTATATTATTAGGAAGAGAAAAGATATATACAGCCCCCAACCCCCCAGTTATGAAGCTACATGTGAAGCCTTTTCACTGATAACTCGAAAAGAGTATTGAGAATGATTCATCAAAATTGCTACATTTTTTGTAGAAGCAAGGAAGACAATCATTCAAATATAGGCCTATTCTGTTGGACCTTATTTCTTCCGCTGGGCTGAAATAGCTCATTTTCCTCTTCACTTGGCGGTATGGCTTGACTATGCCTACATTGATAGAAACAAGACATCTAGATGACAACTCAGAAATGCTTATGTGGTGATCTTTCAGTTACCTTTATCTCAAAAAAAAATTGCTTATGTGGTGATCTTTCAGTTACCTTTATCTCAAAAAAAATAAATGCTTATGTGGTGATCTCTTAAGGTGTGTTCCAAATGGAAGATATATCATTTAAAAGGTGCAAAGTTTAAACTATATGTGTCTAACCTCAAACTAGTGAAGCATAAATCAAATATCGTATTCCCAATTTTAAATCCCACCAGCTTGCTCTCTCATCCCTACCACCTTTTCCTGTGCCTGGGATTCCATTTGGTTCAGATTTTAATCTTGATCCAATATAAAGACGAGGTATGTTCATTATATCCTTCATGAACTCGTTTAGGAATAACCAATTCATGGGGTGATTGGAGTATCACATGGGGGACTATAATTAATCACCACAGGATATATTTGCATGACCTAGAAAATTTTATGTAGGTGCGAATTCTGTAACTTATAGTTAGTTAAGGCAGCAATCTATGATAACATCGGCTAATCCATTACGAAGGGCGCAATTACCTCATTCATATACAACCAAAATTATTGTAGTTAGTTTTATGATATAAAGAGAACATCATAGACTAGGTAAAAGCTGATTTTTGATTGACACTGAAGTTTCTGACACTTGAGGGGATCTACAATATCATCAAAAGAACAAATTGAATACAAAAAACTAAATAAAAGAAGAATCTTTACTGATTTCTCTCCCTCAAACAACAGTCTACTAAAAACATCAATGTAAAAAATAGTTAATTCCATCAAGTAAACCTCAGTTCAACAGCCAGCAATCCAGTGGAATTACTGGAGGTGCACGAAAACCAGCCACAGTTTATCAAAACAAAAACGAAAAAATGAATTGTTTACATCCAATCCGCTGCAAACCCATTTCAATTAAGGTCCAAATCATCTATAGTCATAATCCTTTTCATCAAAAACCAAATACTCCATAATTTTCCAAATAACAAAAGCAAAATACCTGTATTCCTGAAGGAAGCGATCGTCATTGAGATCTGGGTCATCTTCAAGATCATCAAGCTCATCTTGAGTCTTCTCATCGATCCAATCCTTGTCTTTGGATTTTGAACCTTCATCCTCACCAGGTGTAAACGGGTCGGGCTTAAAAACAGGAGCTTTTGGAGGGAGATTTCCAAGCTTCCTCTGTATATCATCCCATTGTGTTGATGCTCCTTCAACATCTTTGTACACAAAATGATAATCCCCCATTTTGATTCGCTTGATTCTCGTTCTTTCTACCAGAAATTAGAGAAAAATTAAGGGAAAGGTGTTAAATAAGTCTCACTTTGTTTTCGGTGAGGTATTGACCAAGAGTCGATCAAATTCGCTCTAAAATGTAATTAATTAATTATGGAATCAAATTAATATTTTTAAAATTTTCTAATTTTTTATAAGATACAAAAAATATACTTTTATAATTCTCCTACGGTGAAGTTCATCTTTTAATCCCCTTCCTTAGAAATTCGATTTTATAATCCTCTTCCTTAGAAATTGGGAAATTCATCGTTATTTTTTCTTTGCAGTTGTTACTCTTTCTCTCCAGTTCTTCATTACTCTCTCATCTTTCTGAACTGTAATCGTGTTCGACTAGAAATGAGTAAATTATTTTTTTGAAATACTTTATAAATTCTGAAGTTTTTTTTTTGAATTAATGAACAATAAAATGTTCTGTAGGTGTAAAAAATGAATAATCAACTTAATGATGTGTATTATTTATCATTTTTGAAAGAAAATCAGCCAACTCAAAAAATTCTTATTTTGAGGAAATGTAAAATTATGTTCACTGTTTGCTGAAGTCTTGATGTCTTCATTCTGATTAAACTTGGGAAGAATTGATA